GAAATGAGATGTCAGTCTTCTCTCACCTTGGACTTGGACTCAGACTGAAACTTATACCATTGGCTCTCTTGCTTCTCAGGCCTGTGGGCTCAGATTGGAACTCCGCTATCAACTCCTATTCTGGGTCTCCAGCTTGCTGAATGCTGTCTTGAGACTTCTTGGCCTCCATAACTAAGCCAATTCCTCATAAATACATTTGTATATGCATTAGCTAGCTAGCTAATCTCTTGATTGTTTCTGTAGAAAGTGCTGACTAATATGAAGCCGAAATAGTGGAGCTGAGAAGTGGTCAGGTTCTGCAAGGACTTGATGATCAATGAAATGTAGGATTGATAAAGAAGAGTCGAAGAGTTAAGTTTTTACTCAGGGCAGCTAGAAGAAAAGAGGCCCTTATGTTGAGATGGGGAAGACCGCCAGAGATGTAGGTAATGGGGTGGTGGGAGGTGGCAAGGAGAGGATTGTTGGGAATTAAGAGTTCTATTTCTGATACTCTTAGTTTGAAGTTGTCAGTAAGGCAGTTTGCTACCAAAATCCCTGGTTGGTCTTCTTGGATTTTTTTCTTGGATTTTTTCTGCATTTGATTTTGCAGAGATGGCATAGAACCCATGGCCTTGTGCATGCTAAGCAAGTGCTTCACCACTGAGCTCCACCCTCAGCTTGTCTTCTTTTTTATAAATTTTGTTGAAAAGTTGGCTCTCACCTCCAGTTTGGTTCTTGGTCTTATTGTTGTTTTGGTTTTTGTTTTAAGAAATGGGAACTCATGAGGACTATAGATAGTTCCGTAAGGCCAGCACTTGGAGAGGGACATGGTGCCATATGAAAACTTGTCATCATGGACACCACTGGCATTCCAAATTTTCAGGGTTTGTAAAGCCATCAGATCTCAGGAGTGGGAGGTCATTTAACGCAACCACCCATCTGAACTGCATGTGACACTGTCACAGCCTTCAGCCAAGTGGTAATCCCACTTCCCCATACCATGTAGTAATCATCAACTACCATTTCTTTTGTTCCATGCTAGAGAATGTGTTTAATCTCTCCTCTTTTATTCTGATATATATATAAAATAAATTTCACCATTGTAACCATTTATGATGTACAATTCTACAGCATCAAATCCATTCACATTGTGAGGTAACTGCCACTGTACATCTCCAGAGCTTTTTCATGCTCCCCAACTGAAACTCTGTACCCATTAAATACCAACTCCCTATTCTCCCCACCAACCCTTCACAACCACCATTTTACTTTGGCTCTATGAATTTAACTACTTTCAGTACCTCATATAAGTGGAATCATATATTTATCTTTTTGTGATTGGTCTACTTCGTTTAGCATAAAGTCTTTAATGTTCATCCACATCATAGAAAGCATCAGAATTTGTTTCCTTTTTAAACCTTAATAAATATTCCATTGTCTGTGTGTGTTTGTGTATGTATAATCTGATTTTTATGGTATGTATATATATTTTTGTACATATAAATATATGCTATATAATATATATATCATATATAAATATATATCATATATAAATATAAATATATATGATACATGTATATTGTTTATGCATTCATCATCAGTGGACACTTGGTTGCTTCCATCTGTTAGCTATTGTGAATAATGCTGCTAAGAACATAATACAAATACCTCTTTGAATCCCTGCCTTCATTTCTCTTGAGTACGTACACAGAAGTGGAAGTGCTGGGTCATACAGTAATTCTATGTTTAATTTTTTGCAGAAGCATCTTACCATTTTTGACAACAGAAGCACCATTTTCCATTCATACCAGCAAGGTGCAAGAGTTTCAATTTCTCTACCTCCTAACACTTGTTATTTTATTAGCCTGTCTTTGATTTCTCCCTATTTGATACCCTGCACAGCACATGATGTTATGCGTGTGGGGGGGTGGGGGGGAGAAATGGTTATCAACCCTGTCTGAAAGGAAAGGAGGTTAAATGAAGCAGCTGTGCTCAGCAAGCCCCAGCTAACATATCTTGTTCTAGATCTGCACTGTATCTTAGCTTACCTACATGTGGCTAATTAAATTTAATTAAACTTAAACAAAGTTTAAAATTCAGTTCCCCAGTCTCATTAGCAGCATTTCAAGTGCTTCATAGTCCCCACCATGAGTGGCTACTATTTTAGGTAGTGCAGAATAGAACAATTCTTTTAATGTGGACAGTTCTTTGGCTACTTTATTGGAGAGTTTTCTAGATCCTTGTAGCCATACTGTCTTGTCTCACAAACCACATTTGGATATATTTTTCCAGAACTGGCTTACTTAAAATTTGAGTTGAAGATGTTTCTTTTGGGAGGGATGAAATGCACTGCTTAAAAACCCTTTGTACATTGCTGGCTGCTCTGCAGTTCTAATTTTCATGTGTAAATATTATACTTCCACACTTGGTGGTCCCGTGTTCTGTAGCACTTGAGAATCCAATATATGAAACTATTTAAGTCTTTTGCTACATCATTTGCCTCCTTTACCTACTAGACTATAAACTTCAAAAGGGCAGGGATTGTGTCTGTTTTATTTACTACTTTTTTCTCAAAGCCTCGCACAATGCCCAGACATTGGGGACTGTCAATACAATTTGTTGAAAAAGTTGTAGATCTGCGCTGTATCTTACCATAGTCACATGTGAAAGAGAGCTTAGGGCCCTGAATGGCTTTTTAGAGGGACATACTCAGAACTAATGAGGCGTACAACTATCTCTCTCGCTCTCCTATAGAAAATAGTCTTTTATAGAATGTAGACTTTAAATTCCTAGTTCCCTCTCCCCATTGTTCTTTCCTCTCTGGTAAAAACAAAAACAAAAACACCTTAAAACTAAATTTCTATGAAGATCTTATATAGTGCATGTTTATAAACACTTGCCAATGCTGAATATAAGGGGAAAATAAATCCTGTATTTCTATAAAATGCTGGCGTATGAGTGACATCTTCTGCTTGCTCCTCTAAATCCATCTTGTCCCTGCCTCCACCCGGCTTTTGGCCCTGGGATGCTGATCTGAATGGGTTATTCTAATGGGTACGTGTGCCCCATGGCTTCTGTTGGGTTTGGCCAGTAGAGAACTCTGGCAGGAGAACCGAGACAGGGGATGAGCTCAGGGAATCAATTTCAAACAGAAGGACTGCCTGTGCCCTTCCATAGAAGGTCAGGGCTTCTCTGAGCTGGTCTGCTTTGCATGACTCTCCTCCTCCTGGTTCTAGATATCCTTTCCCAGTGTTCCACTATAAGCCTTATCCCTGATTTTATAATAGTCCCCTTATTTATAAACCATGCTTCAATTATCCAAATTAGAATGTGCCATCATTTCCCTTTGGGACCCTAACAGAAGCAATATCCTTAATTAGTAGCAAGATTATATAGTCTCTAAAGCCCATCTCTGAAAATTTTCTAACTGTGGTCCTTACAAAAGTGTTCCTTGATAATATTATCATATTCTTATTTCAATCCACTGGTTATCTTTATGAAGCAACCATATTGTGTGCCATATAAGATTTATATAAAATTTTCTCTAGTCCACTCAGGCTCAGAAAAATATCCACAGACAAATTCCTTTTGTATAGAACTTCTCTACACATAATGTAACTTATGGCAATACAAAAATGAGAATTGTGAAGAAGGTTGTTAAGGTTTTAAGTATTTAAATATCTAATAAGCTTTAAAGTGCTCATAGATATGTATTGAAATCTGCAAAATCATCAGTACTGCAAATGAACCATCATTATTATATATAGCCTTACCAGAGAATGCAGATTCTAAAATTTGAAGTGCAAAATTTAAATGTGAATGTATTATTAGCAAATGCCAGATTACTTAAAAAAATAAAACTCAGAATGCTAATGCCAATGTTAAAGCTAAGCAATACTTGTTGTTCCCTTACAATGTACCAAACACTGCATTCACATTTTCATATAACATCTTATTTAACTCTCTACAAATTTAGGAGGCGCACAAAACTCAACCCCATTTGACAGAGGAGTAACTGGAGCCTTAGGGACATCTGTCCACCATTCAGGCAAATAGACATACTAGATTTAAATCCAGGGTCTGACACAAAAGTCCGTGTTTTTAACCATTAATAAAGAATCCAAGAACACCACCAAAGATTTACAGAAGAACCAAAACCAAGGACTTTTCAATGCAAATTACTTTTATCTTGTTATCTGCTCTCAAAGAACATTGTGGAACACTAGATAGACTGGGAAAAGTTATTTTAAAACAGAGAAGGATACAACATATTTCCATGAGATATTTCTATATAACTCTCACAGTTAAGCAAATTTCTTGTTGTTTATAGGAAGCTCATTTACTTTTCCATGCATGGTACACAAAAGAGGGTTAGAAAATGAAAAGTGGAAATTGTTTTATTTTTGGTATCCATTAAATTTCATCCCTGCATACAAATCCCTGCAATGACACTCTGGTCTTTTTTTATTTGAACCTAAATTTCAAGTAATTGAAAACTCTCCTCCCAAATATTTGCATACTTGTTTTAAGAGACCTGATGTTGAATCCATGCTGGCTGCTCCATGTATTCAAACAGACCAATCCTCTGTGACAGAAAATGGGTCAAAAAAAAAAAAATCTAGTCCAGAGATAGTATAATCAATCTGCTAAATAATTCTTCATTGAAACCAATTTTTCTGCAACTATGACTTTACATAACAAGTTGCTAGCATATTTTAAGATAAGACTGTTACTCAATAGTCATTTCTGGTAAACTTTTTGCATCATTGTCCTCTCCTGCGGAACTGATAAAAAGTGAAACAGAAAAGCATACACAAACTGTAACAAAGAAGTCATGCGTTTTGTAAAAACTATTTCGGTCTTCAGACTCTAGATACTGGCTTTGCATAGGAATAATTAAGTTAGCTCTCAAGAGGTGTCCTTTTCACAGGTAGGGTAAATGTTTTTATATCATTTTGTTCATTTAGTTGAACTCACGGCACCCATTGAGAAAGGATACACTCTGCACCAAAAAGCCTTACCCTGAGGCGGAGACCTGGTTTTCCTCTCTTTTTCTTCCCCTTCTTCCATCTCATCTCCTTGCGGCAGCTCCATCTCTTTATTCGTCTTTCTCCCTTTCACACACTACTCAGATGGACCAATTCTTTCTCCTCCGATGGTTTATCATTTCTGTAAGCATTACTTCTGTGATCCTAAAGAAAATTTAAGAGTATGGTATTGGCACCACAAAAAACAAAAGCATTTCAAATGAGGAAGTGATTAAAAGTGACATAATGAAACAGGTGTCTGAGCAGTGAACTCACAGTTGTAACCCGGAGAGTCTTCCCTTGATGATATCTGCCTGGGGTGATGATCTTGTGGAGGAGAAATTAAGAAGCAGATAGGCGTTCGTTCCCCTTTGTCCCCTGTCTCCTTACCTTACTCCAGTGCCCAAGGGTGAGGAAGAAATCTGTGGAAGGGGCTGCCTGGCCTTATATCACTAGGGCTGCTTGTTGAAAGCAGAGTGTCCTGGTGAGATTGCTTGAAACCCGCTGTTCTCAAGTGGGTGATGGACAAAGATAAATTATGAAACAGGAACTTTTGCTAAAACTCTGCATCCCTAGTTGCAAAGGAACATTTACAAAACAAAAGTCCTCCCCCATGCAAATCAGAATGCATAATTGATTACGCTGCAAAAGTGGGTGCTGCAAATAATTTATTCATTCCTTATTTCTTCCATGAACCTGGTACAGCATCTCTCTGACTTAATGGATGAGCAGGAACTTCTTCAAAGAAAAAAAAAAAAAAAATATATATATATATATATGCCTATGGCACCCAGTGTTGTTGAATCATTTCTACAATAATATTGTTTTAATATAATGTAAATACAATGTCACTTAAATGTAAATATTTTATAAATTCCCTATGGCTACAGATCCTTTAAAAAACCATAAGATCCAAAACACACACACCCATTATACTAAGTGAAATAAGCCAATGCAAAAAAAATTTTAAAAGGCCAAATGTTTTCTTTGATAAGCGAATGCTGATCCATAGTGGGGGGATAGGAAAGAATGAAGGAATTTTGGATGGTGCAGATGGGAGAGGGGAGGAAGGCTGTGGGGATGGGGAGGACGGTAGAATGAGACAGACATTATTACCCTGTATACATGTATGATTACACTACTGGTGTGACTCAGCACCTTGTACTGCCAGAGGAATGAGAAGTTGTGCTACCTTTGGGTACAATGTGTCAAAATGTATTCTACTGTCATGTATAACTAATTAGAACAAATTTAAAAAAAGGTACCTCCCCTTTCCCTTCCCTTCCTGCCCCTGATCCCCTTGTTCTATTCTTCTGGTCTCCCTTCTATTTATTTTTTTTAAAATTTCTTTAACATGTACACTCAGAAAAATGAGGAATTATATCCCATCTATGTATGATATATCAAAGTGCATAAATGCATTCTACTGTCGTGTATAACTGATTAAAACAATAAAAAAAAGAAATTGATGAAATTATGTTGTTTTATTGTGTGCACATATGAATATATTATAATAAATTCCACTGTTATGTATAATTATAATGTGCAATAAAAAGGAAAAAAATACACACATTAAAACTACAAAGTAATATAGTATCAATTTAATGTCATTTTGATGAAACAAAATCACAAAGCTTTGTCTTAAAAGTAGAAAAGCACTTTTGGACATTTTTGTATTTCACTTGTTGATGATTTATTTTTTAGTTTGAACACAATAAACACTCATTTTAGTGATCCCTCTTTCTCCTTGTCATGGTTTTTCCTTTTAAACTATAGATTCATCTTGAATCATCCATCCATGATTTATGAATGAATCCGTTATTAATTAAAACTCTCCCTGTATTAGCTTTTCATTGCTGTGACTGAGATACCTGACAAGAACAACTTAGAAGAAGGAAAGTTTATTTTGAGCTCAGGGTTCAGAGGTCTCAGTCCATGGTCAGCTGACTCCATGGCTCTGGGTCTGAAGTGAGGCAGCGCCACATGGCAGAAGAGAAGCACAGTGAGGAGCCATGGACAAGATACATAATACCCAGGGGTATGCCCTAGTGACACAGTTCCTTCAGCCATACCCCTCCTGCCTATAGGTACCACCCAGGAATCCATTCAAATTATTAATTCACCAAGTGGATTAATCCACAATGCAGTTACAACTCTCAGAAGCTAATCATTTCACCTCTGAACATTCCTTCATTGCCTAACATGAGCTTTTTTGGGGGGACTCTTTGTATCCAAACCATAACACTCCCTAAAATAAAATACCAAAATAAGTTTATTTTAATGAAAATGTTTTTATTGAATAATTCCTGTTCTAGTCAGCTTTTTCACTGCTGCAACCAAAAGACCTGAAAGGAACAATTAGAGGAGGAAAAGTTTATTCGAGGGCTCATGGTTTCAGAGTTCTCAGTCCATAGAAGGCTGGCTCCATTCCTCAGGGCTCAAGGTGAGGCAGAACATCATGGTGGAAGAATGTGGTGGAGGAAAGAGACTCAGGCATTGCATAAAGGAGAGAGAAGGAGAGGAAGGGGGAGGAGGGGGGAGAGAGAGAGAGAGAGAGAGAGCACTCTGTTCAGATATATATATATTTTTTAATATGGTGCTGGGGATTAGAACCCGGGGCCTTGTGTATGCTAGGCAAGCACTCTACCAACTGAGCTATATCCCCAGCCCAAGAGCACTCTATTCAACAAGGACAAAATATAAACCCCAAAAGCACACTCCCAGGGACCCACCTCACCCAGCCACCCCCTATCTGCCTACAGTTACCACCCAGTTAATTCTTATAATGAAATTTACCCACTGATTATGTTAAGGCTCTCATAAATCAGTCACTTCACCTCTAAACCTTCTTGCATTGTGTCACACATGAGCTTTTGGGGGACACCTCATATCTAAACCATAACAGATACAATCATATCTAGGGCTAAAGAACTGAAAGTCTGAGTATGACGCATCTCCTCTCCCCTCTCTCATTGTGAATGCAACATAGTTCTGAGGCATAAGTTCTATGTGTGGTTCACACCTACCCTGGTATGAGCTGTGTAGAGGCTCAGCTGGACCCCACTTTTCTTTAGGCTACAGGTAACCCTGCAATCATTTGAGCTTTACTTGGAGGTCAGTCTTTGATTTGTTGCCATGCAGTTGTCAACACAGATGCCAATGGTGAGACTACATACTTACAAAGTTGAGTATGATGATAATCCTGAGTTATAATTGTTTATATTATTATCAAAATGAAATTTCAAATTTGTAGAATAATTGGATCCCTGCAAACGTCAATAATAGTTGGAAACACTGGCCTGGTTTATGGTTGTGCTACATTGAAAATGACGGTACAGAGGAAAGGAGACTGAATTGGTGACTGAGTTCTCACCTGGTATTCCAGGACTGCCACAGTCTGATCCCAATGCATCTGACAGAGAGGCAAGACATCAGCCAGGCACGGTGGCCTGTAATCCCAGGGGATCAGGAGGCTGAGGCAGGATGATCATGATTTCAAAGCCAGCCTCAGCAACATCAAGAGACTAAGCAACTCGGTGAGACCCTGTCTCTAAATAAAATACAAATTAGGTCTGGGATGTGGCTCAGTGGCCCAGTACCCCTGAGTTCAATCTCCGGTAATCCCTCCCCCCACCACCACACCAAAAAAAAAAAAAAAGACAGGACATCCTAGCAGTCAGGAATGCTGGTCTGGAATAAGGCCGCCTGAGTTTGTATCTTGCTCATGTGTTCTTGTGAGAAGGACTGGATGCCCAACTGCTGGAAAGCAAACAGAAGGCAGCATCTAGCTGTCAGTGCACTCTGTCTGCTCAGCTACAGAAGAGACGCTTCACCTGAGATTACACTGTCCCTGTGTGTCCTGTGCTAGAGATGAAGGCCAGGCCATTTCCACTCTGTGCGGGACACTATGATAAGCTCTAGAGCTCCTGGCCAAGTTCATCAAGGCGCTGTCAGGTCTGCATCATATTTGACTTCTTCCTCTGCCTCGTTCTACTTTTGGTGTCCTCCTTTTATGGGTGCTCATCCCTAATAAGCATCCTGCATCCCAAATTCTCTTTCTGCAGGTGCTTCTGAAGGATCCAATCTGTAATGCCACGTCACAACTTTTTGATTGTTTTGATTTGGCCAAGTTAATCAACCTCTGTGTGCCTTGATTTCTTAATCTGTAAAATGAAAATGTTAATATATTTTATTTAATCAAATGATTATTAATATATTGTACATAATGGTAAGAGGCACCTCTACATCATATGGCATTAAGAATGAAAAAAAACTGCCAGGTGTGGTGGCGCACACTTGTAATCCCAGAGGCTCTGGAGGCTGAGACAGGAGGATCACGAGTTCAAAGCCAGACTCAGCAATGGCGAGGAAGTCCATAAGCAGTTACCAAAATGAAAAAATACTGAGTTATGTGTTAGCTTTTTATTGCTGTGACCAAAATATTTGACAAGAACAACTTAGAGGAGGAAATTGTTTTTTTTGTTTGTTTGTTTTGTTTTGTTTTGTTTTTGGTGCCAGGGATTGAACCCAGGGTGGCTTAACTACTGAGCCACACCCTACCCCCTAGCCACATCTCCGGGACCTCATTTTTTAAATTTAGAGACAGAATCTCACTAAATTGCCTAGGGCCTCACTAAATTATTGAGGCTGGCCTTGAACTTTCAATCCTCCTGCCTCAGTTTCCAGAGCTGCTGGGATTACGGGCATGTGCCACCACACCCAGCTGGATAGGAGGGAAAGTTTATTTGGACTCACGGTTCCAGAGGTTCAGTCCATGGTTGGCTGAGCCCATTGCTCTGGCCCTGAGATGAAGCAGAACATGATGATGGAAAGGCACAGCAAAAGAGTACTGCTCTATTCATGGCAGCCAGGAAGCAGAGAGGGGCAAGGGACTGCAAGGAGAGCCCCCATGACACCTCCTCTTGCCACACCCCATCTACCTGCAGTTAACACCCAGTCAGTCCATTCAAACAAGGACTGCCTTATGGTTTGGATGTGAGGTGTCCCCCCAAAAGCTCACATGTGAGACAATGCAAGAAGGCTCAGAGGACAGATGAATAATAATCAGTAAATTAATCCCCTGGTAGGGATTAACTGAGTGGTAAGTGAAGTGGTAGGGTGTGGCTGGAGGAGGTGGGATTTGGGGGCATGGCTTTGGGGTATATATTTGTATCTGGCAAGTGGAATCTATCTCTACTTCCTGATCACCATGTGCGCTGCTTTCCTGTGCCACACTCTTCCGCCACTCTTCTGCCTCAACTCGGGTCTCCAGGAATGGAGCCTGCTGTCTATGGATGGAAACCTCTGAAACCATAAGTCCCTAAATAAACATTTCCTCCTTTAAAATTTTTCCAGTTAGGCACTGCTTGGCTGACCTGCACAGAAGCCAGGGCCCAGGGTAGGCCCAAGTTCATCCCACCACCTGCAGACCCCCTAGAGCTCAGGCCCCTACAACAACCTGTTTGGGAGCCTAGGTTCAGCATAGGTCTGTATCTTCCCACCCCACCACCACCTGGGAGCCCAGGTC